GTACGTTGCAAAAACGATCTCACCTAAATTCGGGATTGATATAATTCATGCAACGAGGATCGGTTTCCGTGGGCATTTAACGAGCGTGTTTCTCATCGACAACTGATCGCGTTTATCAGTTTCATTCGCGAGTATTCTTCGTGAATCTTACAAGGAGAACTACCCAAGTATTACACTCACTTATTAATGAAACTTTGCCAGCTTGTAGAGCTCGTCGAGCTGAACATGCCTATACCCCATTTTGGCGGCAGACGGCTAATTGTTTAAAAGATATTAACAATTACAATTACTTACTCCTTACATTCTGAAGTATGACAAACTCACACATACAATTCGCAATCTAGAGATCCATGGTTCAAATCCTTGGTTCCCAACATTTTTTATTTTGTAATAATAATTTGTCTCTTTTTGAATAAGTATTCCATAAAAATTATCATTAAAAAAAAAAAAAAAAAAAAAAACGGGAACCCAGGATTTGAACCGAGGACCTTAAGATTACGAATCATGTGTTTAACCACGGAGAGGATCCATGACTCGCAATCTGAAGGTCCTCAGTTCAACTCCTTGATTCCCAAAAATAAATTTTTTTTTTTTTTTTTTGATAATTTTTATGTAATAGTTATTCAGAAAGAGACAAATTATCATTAAAAAAAAAGAAATGTTGGGAATCAAGGATTTGCACCGTGGATCTCTAGATTGCGAGTTGTATGTGTGAGTCTGTCATACTTCTCAATGTAAGTAGTAACTAACTTTACTTATTAATATCTTTTAAACAATTAGTCGTCTGCCCACAAAACGGGGTATAGGCGTGTTCAGCTCGACGAGCTCTACAAGCTGGCAAAGTTTCATTAATAAGTGAGTGTAACACTTGGGTAGTTCCCCTTGTTAGAGGTACTTCTAAAATCGCTTCGATAGATCAAAAGAAATAGAAGAAACTCCTCGATTTGGTTGTTACTGATTGTCAAATGTTTATTAATTACATCGATCGTCGAACGAGTTAACGAGCGATCGTGATAGAACAACGGTTCCTATCGGCATTCAGACACTGAATTGTCCTTCTATCTTTTTACCATGAAAATGAACCCGTGTACCAATCGAGTATTTATCAATCGAAACTTTCAATTTACCACCCTAAATATCGATGCTATTGAAAGTATGTTCATTTTCTTTGTTCGTTATTTCTTTAGACAGAATAATGTTATACTTTCAAGGTAACCGCTGCTCTAAAGGGAAAACGTTCGAATCGCTGCAATGTTCGACGAGTCGTTCTCGAAAGTAAACGACGAGGAAAATATCTTGTTGTCCTTTCGTTTGGATTTAACGTAGTTACGGTTGTATTTTTTGAATTTTATCCTATATATTATATACATAAAGATTAATTCGACATTGATCCCGAGACGGTCAGACCGACTCGAGTCGTTCTATTATCTCGAGTTAGCCTGAATCGGTCCGTGAAAAATGGCATACTTAGAACCGGGCGTGTTTGCACCTTTCACAGTTCTCCTCTCGCGGAAAAATTCCTGATGGAAAAATAAGGAGATCTAAAAATGTTCAATCCGTGAACCGACTAGCGGCCGGTGTCCCTTGAAAGTAGACCTTTCTATACCAGAGTAATCGTCGAGCTCAAATCTAATCACTACCGTTCTCCACAGACGCGATTTATTGTGCCAAAAAAAAACATGTAGAACAGAACGACGATTTTTCTTGAAACGCGAAGAAATGATAATCTGCACGGATCGCGATCGCGACAGGAACGTAGTATTTTCGAATCTCATCTCGTGGACTAACTTCGTGGCAAAGAGGGTGCTCTTGCTTTCGAGGGTGGAATTTTATTATTTCGTTGAAATTAACGAGTTTTCATTTCGTTTATCTAGAAATCCTGTTGGAATTATAATTTATTTTGAAAATGATTCACTGGCTACGTTACTCGAAATGGTATTAATTTCTCTGTAAGGTAGAACGCGGTTCGCTATTCTGTTCGGTGAATGAAACATTTAACTTTTTCAATTTCTCGATTGTCATCAATATTTCAGAGTCGATTACTCTTGTTACGTGAAATTCTTGACGAGATGTTAAACGTAAAAAGGGAAACAATAATAGTGCCAATGGTGAAGTTCTTAATCTCGCAACGCTCAATTAAAACATCTTCTTTTCACCATGTAAATATCGATTAAAAACTGACACTCGGAAAATTTCAGAAAATGCTTGCAAATAGACCGATGAATAATATTTCAATTATCCTAAATTCTTCATAATTTCATTTTATTCTCCCTTTCTTATCCAAAGAATTGTACAATTGAAAATTGTATCAAGATTTTTATAATCTTCTGAATACATTTGTTATTTACCTTCTATTAACCGATCGTAATCAAAAGACTATGAGATTCACGTTACTTGAACAGAGTAATTTCTAGTGCCAATGGTAGAATCCCTGATAGCTTCTGTCGAGGCCGTCAAGCGAGGCAATTTGATAAAATTTGAACGAATATATTATTCTTGTAACCGTGCAACGCCTTAGTCGAGACGAATCGCAGAAGCTGATTTTTCTACAATTTCATGTTGCATCTGCTGTACACCTGACAAATTTATCGCTATAAAATATTAATTACACCTGTAACGAACTTGTCACTTTTTCTTTTCGACTAATTATTTTCCATTACAGGCAGATAGCTGTTTTCACCGATAGTTAGCGATTGGAGAATATTTTTAAGAATATCTTTCATTCAGGTTGCAAAATAATGAATATTTCAATTAATAATTTATCAAAATTAAAAGATCCAATTTCTTAAATAATTAAGTAATATTTTAATCAACTTGAATGATAGAATTTCTCCAAATAATTCTTACAAAAATTTGAACATTGTATAAACCTTGGTTGTGATAAACACTTGTGTTTCATTCTGTACAGTAGAAAATGCAAGGCTATACTTTGTACGAAAACAATTGAAAAAATTAGAGTGCTTGTGTAAGAAAAATAAAACTAAATGCAAAGGAATGCTGCCCTGAATATTGAAAGAAATTAGGTACTCTCCAAATAAGAGTATTGTAGATTGTCTCAAAATTGAAATTAAATCTGCAAGTTTTATTTTGTTACAGCTGATCGAATATTTCTTAATTGTCTTTATTCGAATAAACCTAGCATTCTTCGTTTATTTATTAATGAACATTCGTTATCAGGTAACAGGTCAAGTGAACTTTAGAGTAAATGAAAAATTTTGAAGTTCGACGATGTTATATAAAAGTTATACCAACAGATAGAGGGATGAAAGTTCGCTTCACCTGTTACATAGATTTTAATTACAATACTGTTGTGATTTTATAGTTCTATTCTGGTTAGCACCGAGAGAAACGTAAACGAGCAGAAATTGAACAGGTATCATAATTGATAACAGGGGCCACGAAGATTAGTCCGCTAAAGTTCCTGTTACCTGTCTGTATTACGAGATGCAGCGACTGTTTCACTTATACATTGAATATATTTCTAAAAATGTTTTACCGTCGTGTATCGTGAACCAAGAAATTGTAATCATGATTCTTTGTGCGTGACAGGAGAAACTAAAAATGACGACGATAGTTGAAAATTTCTTCTCTTTTTCTTTTTTCTAACAAGTCTGAGAGATTTTGAACGGCAGATCGAAATGCGTATTTATACAGGGTGTTCGACAACAGGTGGGCAATATTTTAAGAGGTGATTCTAGGGATCAAAATAAGACGAAAATTAAGAATAACGAAATAGTGTTTACGGCTTTGTTTTCCAATAATTAATGTTTAAAAATTCGAGTAAAAAGCGCCTGACACCTGCAATCCGCTCAGCACCGACGACCGAACGTCACGTCGGCAGGGGTCGAGTTTTTAAACGTTAATAACTGGAAAACAAAGCCGTAAACGCTATTTCGTTATTCTTGATTTTCGTCTTATTTTGATCTCTAGAATCACCCCTTAAAATATTGCCCACCTGTTGTCGAACACCCTGTATACACTTAATATTACTAATTTTAGATACGTCACCGTAAGACGATTGACAGGGGCAAGGAAACGTGCTCTTGCTCATTCGCTTCCTTGCCTTTTTACAGGAAAATGAAATACCGAGAACGAGACAAGTGCTTTGAACTATTTATCGACAAGCTGTTTGCGATCGAGCGTAGAATTAAAGTGGAAAAGTTGAGCAATGTTCTTTTTTTTTTCTTTATTCTTTATCAGGCTGATAAACGAAGAGGTAGTAATATAGATCACCGTCGCTTTGACTCGTATACAATAATAATAATTATGGAAATTTTTATAAAGTCAAGATTAATTAATTTTCGAATTTATATGATATCTTCTAAAGTTGTTCGGTTTTTAATGTTTCGTAGATGAAGAAATAAAATTGGCTATCTATATTATTACCCCTTCCACTAGTTTCTTGTCGTTGGTAATTGGACCGCTCAATCGAAGGTGTAATTAGCCGCGCGTAGTCTCACTTTCAACTTAACCTTATATCGTTTCAACGTCTATTTATCGGTGCTACCAATGTGCTACCATTGTTTTCGCATCTGTGTATGTCTGAATTTTTCAAATAAAATGTTAATTTTATTACAACCTCCTTAGCGCGTCATTCTGTCTCTCGTAAAACTGTAGAATAAGTGGTAATAAAATAAAGATCCGTGGGCGATACAAGGATGTAAGGGATACGGAGATATAAAGAAAGTAGGATAAGCAAGGATGAAAGAAATATAAGGGGTAGTAAGGTAGAGGGATATAGGGATTAGAAGGATATAGGCCCTCACGAGACCAATAAAGAGGAATAAAATAATGGAAGGAAGCCCAAAAATCATGACCTGCCGAGAACAAAGACATGCCCATTCTTTTTGGATCTATTATAATCACTGAACGTTGTTTTCATTAACTCTACAAATTCCATAAAAGGAGCGCTTTAATTCTAATTTTCTCAAATCAAACGAATTCAACCATTAACCTCTACCATTGGCACCATTCAAAAACAATGAAAGAGTACCGGGTGATTCGATGATTTATGAAAGTTTTTGATTTATTTGACTCTGTACAGATTTGCTACAAATTTATTATCGTTAATAATACCGTCGTACATTTGTAATCATCGTATGGGTATTACGCTTGCGTCTTTTCTTTTTTCCTTTCTTCTTCTCACGTCTCGGTTTTATCGTACACGAATGATATCGCTCTTTTATTGCAATTAACTCGAAGTACGTACTGTTTGCTTCTTATTTATCGTTAATGGAAATTCGTTATCTATAGTTTATCGACAGCCGAACGGCTTACAATTAATTTTCACCTGCGTTTAGAAAATTCAAAGATCGGTGAGCGAGTATGAGGTTCGTAATAATAATAATAATAATAATAATAAAAAAACAAAAAAATCCCGGTCTCTCCTTTCACATATCCTAGCGGAGACGTAAAACAGTTCCTTAATTAAGCTTTGGAATAACCGTGTTTAGGTACAACAGCTTTACATCGTTTTGCAAAGCACGGTCGACGATAATAATAATAATATACATTCATACAAAGTTGCACGATATTCAAGCATACGAACGAAACGATTTCATTTTTCTTTCATCTCGTCGTTTCGTGTCGTTTTACAAAATTCTCCATAAATACTGTGTCGTAGTTGGCGAAGTTATCTAGAATGTATATTTTACCCCTAAATCTAGTCGTCTTACCATCTAACGAGTTTTATACCTTGCGAATTATATTATCCATATTTATATTATGTATATATGTATAAACATAGTACAGACGAGAGACTGATCAATTGTTTCGTTACATATTACATTATATAATTACCGTATCTGACTATATAATCTTTAAAATCATGTGAATGTACACGTGTCGTTGCTGATGAATCCGTATTAGCTACAAACTGAAGCGATCCAGCCTCACCCCTCCTCTTCTTAATTCATAATTTCTTCTTTTTTTTTTATACAAGGATAAAACGCTGCTTCGCGACGAACAGCGAAAATTATTTTAAATATAAATTATTTCTTTCTTCTTTTCGCGCTGTTCGAATCAATCGAACGTTATTCGATAAAAGAAAAAGAAAAGGCTAATTCAATGGACCATCCGATAAAAAGTTTATGTACTCGTTATTGGAAAGGTCCTAGCTAATGTTCAGAAAAGAATGCAGTAAGAAACAGATTTTTCTGAACATTTTTAATGTCGCAATTAACACGCAAGATTATACAATAATCTTAACGAGCAATATATATATATATATGTATATATAAAGTTCATGTATACGCATATATATGGAGTATTGTATAGTTGATGGTACAAGGGTTGTAAGTGAAAATATAAAATATAGCATTTTCAATAATCAATTAAATAATTCTTTTATCAGTGAATTAAAAATAAATTATTAAAAAACAAAGAAAACAAGAGTTCTGTATACTATAAAAATTTCAATAATAATAATAAGAGATTAGAAAAAGAAGGATTAAAATAAGAAATTAATCCTTGATACATCCAATAATCCATATTGCCATGTACTACACTAATTAAAATTAAACTGATTCATTATTTCGCTTGTACCATCAATTATACACGTAATACTCTACATGTATACGTATATGCTATACATATTTTATCAATAGTGATCATCGTATTTCACCAACATCGATGCAAAATAAATCACAATCATTTTCTGTTACGCTTAACATTGGCAACCTTAATCCTCATTGCAACAGTTAGTAATTATCTCGCTAGATAGTTTTCTCCCTCTAAATGCTAAAAAATATGAATCCTCTCACTCGTTTCGGTAATTATACACATCGTCCTTACAAGTAATGGAGTATTTTGGTAATGAACGCCTAGCCAAGAAAACGAACTTCGGTTCATCGCGATGTCCCTCCTTGTCGACACGGGAAGATCATTTGGAAACGTAGAAAATGGATTTGGAAAACTCGTGTCGTCGTGACTGAACGCAAACACATGCTATTCGTCGAGCATTACAAAAACATTCAAAGGTACAGGTATTTTTACAGACTTATACAGCGCGAGAAGGAGAACAGAAAAATATTAACTCTGCAGTTTGGTTTCCTTTCATTTTTAATTTCACGTCCATAATATGCGTGTGTATATACACAGAGCACTCGCATGTTTCTTTACCTAAACAGACGTATTACATATTACATCCTCGTAACGTGGACGATCGAGTGTCCAAAAAACAGAAAGTTAGTTTGTTTTATTACAGGGTATTAGTATTAGTATTATCATGGAATGTGTCGAGAAGGAAATGCTTTCCCCTACAATCGACATCGAGCAGACGACAGATAATCGACGCCTAACTGTGCGTACCTTTTTCTTATCATTGTATTTATTATCACTTTACGTTTCTCTTTACCTTCGTTGAAATTTATTTCAAGATCGGAGATTCGAAGAAAGATAAATGTAATTAAATATATACCGTAAACTTTCATTATTTCATTTCTAACAATGAAATAATTTGGAAGTGTCTCCCTTATATAAAAAGAAAAGAGTACGCATGTTCTTTAAAAAAGATTCTAGAGTTGAATAAATTTTTTTTATAAGGATCCCCTTCCTATATTTCAGCCTACCATTCTCAATCGGATCGCAAGAACCTCAATAAATAAAAATACATCTGGCTGACGATTCTTAGAATCGTCTTATGAAACGCTAATTATTATTATCATACTCTTCAATTAAATACACGCTATCGAATTGAGCCTGTGATAAAAATCTTAATAGAAATTCTTCGTTTAATTTGTACAAAAGAAAAACAAAGAGAGAAAACAAAAAGAAAATTCTTAAATATACTTTGTATCTTAACAAAAATGAAAATAACCCTGTGAAAGGCGATTAAATGATGCGTAATAAAATAATAATCATCGTTAAAATATTACATTTGTATCTTTAATGGTACTACTTATCGATAACGCGTTCTGTATTAACACAGACTTCCGTGTATCAACATAAATATTAACATAAATAATGGAACAACGAAATTCCTTGATTCCTTGTTCGTTTCCACGTTCGATGCCCTTTTCTTTGAACGCATGCCTCAGGATTTGAAACACAATTCTATTGAACAGTTTCGTGCAAAGCGTGTAACATTGTGCGACGAGTAACAGAGGTGGAAGGTTTCGTTGGGAATTAACGAAACGACAGAATCGTCAGCCATTTCTCTAGGAGGCAGTGGCGGTGGATGGAAGGGAATTGGGTCACGCGAGATTCGTTTCCTGTTCGCCCCATCCTTCGCTGTCGCACTCGCTTTCCGATGCTGAATCACTGTCACTAAACTCAACGGCGACGCGTCGAGCAAGTATAGATGCGACGTCGTTCAATGCGTTCACGCGTTCCACTTCCTTCTGTTCGATCTTCTCCACTTTACGCAATTTTATCCCTGAAAAAAAAAATAGAAACATCCCACATTTTTCATATTTCTATTCGCAGAGTAGAAATTCCAAAACTATCAAATCACTGATACACCCACTATCTCATGGTACAAAGTAAAAAATGCAGAAAGTCAATTGTAATTAACCGAATCATAGGATAATTACCGTCTCTGATCGCTTTAAGTAGATCGTTTCGCGGATCGACGAGGGGGATGTTCGGATTAACGGGCTTCCTCAATTGCCCGTCCATATTCTTCAATGGCTTCAAGGGTTTCAGCTTGGGCGGATTGGTCGCTATCATTTTGGCAATGTCGCCGTTGGTTAACGGTACAAGGGGCGATGGTCCATTAGCCACAGGTGGTGGTGGAGGTGGTGGAGGAGGAGGTGGAATATTACAAGGCGGTGAAATGGGTCTTGGTGGTGTGGGATCTGGGGTTGGAGGTGGAGGTGGCAAATCTTGAGGAGCAGCAGGATCAGTTTCATCGGTTCCGATCTGTGTCGAGTGATTTGGTGGAGTAGGCGTGGAGTGATGACTCGGTAATGGACTATTCGGACGACTTCCGCTTCTGTTCAACAAATGCGACGGTATAGAACCTGAAACGATGACAAAACGATTAACTCCCATGTCTTATGATGATTTCAATAGAACAATAGAAATCTTTCATTCTCTATACCAATGATATTTACCGTTCATAGGAGGAGGAGACATAGTTTCACCAGGAGGTGGAGGCGGTGGTGGAAGGGTGTCTCGGCCGGTGCTCATCGATCTTCCTCGTGTCGGAGTGTTGTTGGCGGATGCGACGGTAGGAGTTGAATTGCTAGAAGCGTTGCTCGGAGGAGCTGGCGGTGGTTGCGAGGGTCGCGATCTGCCGCCCCTACTCGGAGTGCTCTGACCACCGGGACTCTGGTAGGTCTCGCTTCCCGCTTGTCCTTGACCCGGCCCGTAATGCGATCCATACAGACTGTCCTCGTATCCCTGAACCGCGTAATTCGCTGCCCTACTTTTTCCAAGAAAAATTATTTTATCCATTTTAATTTCTCCTCGCTCTATAGCATCCCTTACGTTACCGAAACGATAAAATGACAAACCTGTAGTGATCAGAGGAAGGAGGGCTATAAAGATGCTGTTCCTCCGGTGGATAACTTCGTCTAAGTTCGATGCTGTTTGGCCTGGGTGGACGTGGTTCGGTCATCACCATACCCAGCAATGATTCGTCCGGTATATTGTGAGGCGCCCTGTATTGGACACCCTGCGTTGGCATAATGTACTCTCCATGGCCAACGGCCAACTGTCTTTGCCTTTCTCTCGTGTTGTGCGGTTGCCTTATACGCTTCTTGTGTCTGCCACCGCCTCCTCCGCCACCCTCGTTCCGTGGCCTATGCGGCTGTGATGCAGAGATAACTTGTTAAAGAAGCTCGTCTAGCTCGGGCTTAGCGGCGAAAGGTGCAAGACAAGCTTAAATTTATCAATCAAGCATGACTCGACGGTTGATCCAAGGTTTGTTCGTTGCAGGCTTGAAGAAACAGTGTACGGTGTATGAGATTCTATTGTATACCAGATCAACCATCGAACATGAAGGTTTGTAGGAAATAAAAATACTGTTCTTTCAAGTGTTTCATGGATACATTGGTCGTTCTCTCGTTTGACACGTTTAAAGACATTTGTATGTGTACTTAGAACGGTAAAAGACAAAGTTTGCAGAAAGAGAAATTTGATGATATAATATTTCAGGATATATTATTAAATTACTATTACCTTTTCGGTGTCAGCTTCTACCTACGTTAAAATTTCATTTTATTCTACTTTTAGCAAAGCTTCATTATAGAAAATTTGAAATAGATGTAGAACTTTGAGTACCAAATAATGCAACTTTCGAGAACCTCAAGAACTCCGAGTTATCTTCACATACAAATGCCGTTACATCAATTTGATATTCGCAATTTTATTTCCTACGCGTGATACATGACAGATCGGAAACAAAATAATCCTGAAAATGACTCGAGACTATCGTATCGATTGCAATGAATGAATGAATGAATGAATGAATGATGAAATAGAACTTCTATCGAGTACATCCAAAAGTTGCATGGCTGGCACAGAAACGGCAATACAAGTGATCGACAAACGTGACGTGTGATTGTGTGACAAACTATTCGAGTATCGAGATAAAGGGTCGAGGAAGAGGTGTGGTGTTTGCGATTCGAATCAGAAAAAAAAAAGAATGGCTGTTTCAGCGTAGATCGAACATCTCGAGACTTTCCAATGCTATAAAAAAAAAAAGAAAGAAAATGTAAAAACCAAGCAGGAAAATTCGATTTACGCGATGAAACTGATTTTGCCAAGGGCGAGAAACAACATCGATAAGATATTGCGATTTTCATTGGCTTAGCCCTAGCGTGTATAAAACTACAAACTTTGTCAAGCGAGCATCTATAGCGGAATTTTCTATCGAGCGCAAAAAACTGGTATCGGTTAATTGAAAAAACCACAAAATAGGTGAGAGCTTTGATTATGTATGAGTGAGTGGTTGGCGATCGATAATTCATTAAAAACTTGGGTAGAAGGGTAAATGTAAAGAAACAACAGAAAAGAAAAACTACAAAGATCCAAACCATCGACTTGCCTCTCTGAACGGTTCGGCATATTCAGACTCGGTCTATAACGTAAGGGGACAGTTTCAATAGTTAGAATTTTATCATAATCGTAACAAAATTAGTAACATTGTATCGTGTTGTTGCGCACCTCGATAGTGTATTATTGTTACCTCTATTCGTGTATGCAACAGAGTGTGCCTCGCTTATTAATTCGTTATTAACAAATAGAAGAATAATAACAATTTTCATTTAAATTTCTACGTTAATTGAATACGTATGTTTAAAGAAAAAAAAAAAGGCAAAAAAATATGTTCGAGGTGCACGTTTAGAGACCAATGAAGGGGACGATGGATTCCTCACCTTCTTCCCTCGATCGTGTAACTTCTTCTCGGTGTCTTTGAGCATTTCTTGACTCCATAGGTCGAAGAAGTAATTCGGATCTGTGTAGAATTTTAGTCCATCTTTACCGTCCTCCCTAAAATCAGAGAAATTTGGAGAATCAATTTTTATTTTATTAACAAATGATAATGATAAAAAATTGGCTATTTTAAGATTCATTTAATTAATCTTACCAGACAGGTGTTAAAATAGAACACAAGTTGATTAATGAAAGAATGAAATACCTGTAAACGTTAAGTTTATCAAGAGGGGGTGGTGTATCGCATTGATGGTAGGTCTCCAACATTGCTGTTGGCATGGTATCCCTGGAGACAACCTGCTGGTCGAATACCACCGAACTCTTGAACGCCTTCCTCATATGGATATCTTGCAGCGAGACTGAAACAACGAATACAATGATAAATGAAATGAAATGTGAGTTCGAATTAATTACCGGTGGACCAAGTGCCACCCAACGAGGGAGACGATTGAAAACCATATACACTAGGTATAAAAAATTACAATTTGTCGAAATCGGGAAAGAAATAGTAAAAGGCAATTTTTCGACATTTTGATGTCAGCCTATAATAAAAATTTAAAATAGACTAACAGAAATTCTACTCTATGATCTATTGGAAGACATTTTAAGAGCTTCCCTTATTTCAGCACCATTAATGATTCTCCGGTATCGTTAATTAATTAACGAATAAACGTACCTCCTTCGACACTGCTGTCCAGCTGAGTGACCTTCACAGCCAGTCGATCTATCCTAGCCTGCAAGGAATTGGCCCTGTCGCTCAATCCATGTGCCTCCCTTGCAAGTTCGCCGAACAGATCCTCGGCATGCCTGGACAAACTAGATAGTTGCCTAATGGTATTAGCCAAAGTGCCGTTCGTAACAGCTTCTAATTCCGAGGGTAAAGGAAAATCCTCGGGGATGGTACCGCGTGCGACCAGCACCGGTTCCACCAGTCGCTTTGGAAGCGGCATCTTATGTTTTTAGTTAAAGGAACACCGCTTTCTTCAGATCTGTAACAACAAATTTCCGTGCTACATTAATCGACGAGTAAATGAAAGCTGAATTAAACTCGTGGTAATAAAAAAGAGGTTCTTTTTATACTGGCTCGTAACGAGGCACGTTGTAAATGATCGAAATGAACATTTATCACGTCGGATGAGTAATGGAATTGTTATTGCAGGAAGCTGTTTCTACTGCTGGATAGATGCAACCTACATATTTTCTTTCGCTATCGTGTTTCATTTATTATACGTGCGAGTTTTCGCGATAAATGCGTGGATATTGCATTTCGCTTCCGGTATGATTGATTGAAATTGGATAACGTGTACAGTTATCGACCCCTGTTATCGATCCTTTTCCCAAAAAAAGTAGAAAATTTCACGTAATGAACTGTAATTCTATTTGGAAGAAAAAGTATTCGGGCTATGAAAGATAATTATATTTTAAATTTAGTAAATGATAATGATATGAAGTAGAGAATTAAATTAGAATCGTGGCTCTCTCCGTGGTCCGCCGTCCGAGAGCTAAGAAAAAGTAAAAATACTAAATAATTATAATCATCTGTTTCCGCAGTAATGCTAATTTATTCCATAAACTCATACGCGACGCCTTTTAATCCACTAGTTAAAATAAATATGACGTGTGCGGTATGAATTACGTAAACTCAATGATGCAAAGTATGATACATGCGGATCTTATCGGTGCTGCAGAGAACCGCAGAAACCGCGATTAGTTCCTTCCTTTTTATCTTCCTTATCAAACTATACAAATATACATTTGTAATACCTGTTTTGAAGAGAAGTAATATTAAAAATTATTGATCACAAGCCATTTTGTATTAAAAATATTACCAAAACGTTTGCAAAGTGATACTTTTATGTCATGAAATCGTCACGGTGATTGTTCGAATTTTCTTCTAACGAGTATACAGATCTCACGGCGTTAATCTAGATTCTCCTTATAAAAGAAGGCGCGGTAATTTTCTAACGAGATTTTAAAGAAGAAACGCGTCGGTTTTCTCACGGATTCTCGTTGCAACTGTTTCGTTTCAGCTACAGCTTTCAATCGGCTGAACGAATTCTTCTAACGAGTGCAACGACTGCAGCCTCGCCTTGACTCCTTTCCTTTCCTTACGTTTCCCCCTTGCGATCCCATTGGCCCCGATTAACTTGCCCCGGTTGTTGCCTCTTATCGTTCCCTGCAACTCTCCCAGGGTCAACACGCGACGATAATTAGCGGTTCGAGACGCGGTCGCGCGACCAAAGGGTGCGACTAGCGATGGGTGCGACTAGCGATCACCTACGTTTCATTCAACTCTCGTCTGAACTTCGAAATTTTTCTTAAAATGTTGCCGAGTCTTAGAAAATAATCCAGAGAATGAAATGAACGATTTAAAAAATTGTGCGATAGTGACATTAGCATTTAGAGATTTAAATATCAAACGTTTATCGCTGATTAATATGCACGTCCAACTTTCTTGTATGACAAAAAGCCTCGTTGCAAGCAAGTCTGCGTGTAAATATGCAATAGATCAGAGATACTGCACTCCTTTCCGTGGCGTGCAATTAAGGAATCTCGGGGAAAACATGGCATATTTATTGATAACAAATGAGTTTCGTCATAATAACCGGTTGAAAAAATTAATTTCTTTTTATACGAATTCGATACTTCGTGAAATAATAATATAGAAACACTAATGGAACAGAAAGGAAACTTAATTTTATTCTCGTTCCCCTGTTAAAAGGGAGTGTTTGCATCGCTTATGAATGTGTTACCGAATAAAAGATACTTGGGTTGGTACTTGTAGGGGTTAACCAAACCCTACCCTTGCTTTCTGATCCCTTTGTTTTTAGGGGTCGTTGCTCGGATACGTTAGAATACTGTGACACATCGAGGTGGTTTTAACGACATCCCTTTTTCTTTACGCTCTCCTGGCTCTCCAGCTTTCCTTTTGATCTGAGGAAAGAAATGCCTCGTGATTTTAATAATAGAACCGAGAAGATGCTTATCCTGCATTCTAATGTAAATTGAAAATCCGAAATAACATTCCTTTCTGAATATTTTCCTCCTCCAATTCTTAATACGACTTTGTCGATATCAGATCGTATGAAACTTTGACAGAAGAATCATGACAGAAAAGTATCTGAAAATGATACATATGGCCCGTCAATTTGAAGCTTAAAGTTTCACGAAAATAACCATATAAAGTTTTCGTTGATATTCTTAATACAAAATGGCCGGTGATTACTTATAGCGAACGATGAACGTTGAAGGAATGATTATGCAGCAGTAGGTTATATAAAAGGTCTAATGGAATTAGATGACATAAAAGGACTGCAAAATAGCACTTATGGTACATCAATTAAAAGTTCAAAGATCAAAGAAACTGACTACATAAGCGTTTTCATAAATATCCTTAGGAGAAAATATTATTTTCTTTTTAAATAGTTGCCACTCGATGACATAAATTGTGAAATGCTCGATATATCTGGCGACTCTCTTTCAGCTGACACGGAAAGTGTTACGCTTATGCGAATGGCCTAACAGCAGTATCATTACTAAGGTTTATGAAACCTTTCGACGGAGGTCGTGTCGACACGTGGGCTGACATTTACAGTGTAGAATCGTACGTTATGTTTCGCGGGGAAATAGAAAGTCGATTGCAAAGATTTATTTCGCTAGCTTCGATTGCACTCTGACCCCGTAAAATTATGTAAAATTTTTTTATAACATCTAAACTTTCTTCGGGAATCTTAATTTTATAAAAGTATAATTCCTTAAATTTTTTTCAGGTATCTGAATTGAAAAATACTTGCAAAAATTTATATCTGTTTCATAAAATCATTTATTCTTCACAAAAATTAGAAATTAAAAAAAAAAAAAAAGAACATTGCGCAAGGCGTTAATCGAGCCGCGTTCTATGTTTCATTTGCATGAATCGTGCACCTTCCAACAAAGGCAACATCCACACACTATCACCGTACATTATAATTAACACGATACGAAACCAGTTCTTGCTTCACCTTGTTCATTTTTCACCCTTCAGATTAATCTAAAGATTCGAATGTTTGTCGATCTCCCACCCACGCAACACACGTAAGTATACGAGTCTGAAGAATTTCCATTAGAAGAATAAGGTCTCGTACGACGAACGTAAATAAATTCCAAGGAACAACAATCGGGGTCTCCATGGTATGACAGGAACACGAGTAGAATATGAGTCACCTTACACCTAGACCCCTTCGACCCTACGTATCTACGTTTTATCCACGCTCCCACGCAATCGACCAGGAGCCTTTTACTGATTCAGCACGAACTAACCAGAGGAAGAGTTCACCCAGCTGCAAATACATAGTGTAGCAAAGAAAAGGGTTATTTATAGCGTTACCTCTTTAAGTGGCAGGAGTTAAGAGGTCGGGCCACCTTGAGGCTTCAAAAATTAATTTTCAGGAATTTTATTTTTTTGGAGAAACAATGAGATAAATGCAAAATCTATTTTAGATACTCTATTATGCATATTTTGAAGTATAAAAAAAAATTTGATTTTTTTAAGTTTCAAGATGGTCCAAAAGTTTAACTAAGAAAGTAAAAAATTTGGGAAGGTAGTAGATGACTCATTAAGACCCAAATGTTTAAGATATGACGCCTGAAATTCCTACGGTATTACGTTTCTACTTAGTCACGTTTTGCTCTTTCGAAAAGGTAGTTCAGTATTGTGGAATCGATTTCTTGCTGAACACTTTGAAAGGAAATACGGTACGCTAACAATTTACGATGATTCGACGCGTATGAACGGGTAAACGATGAACCGTTCGCGTAAAACTAGCAGCAGCAGCGATTTACTCGTTCCCCTTGTTGTTTCTTGGGTTACGTTTTAGGTTACTTGGCCGTCTTTTTATTCCTCGTAGTAGAGGGATACGCTCTGTTCATTCAGGGACCAGTGAATGGAGCTTTCAGTTAGTTCGTAGTAATTCGCCTTGCGTAAGACAAGGAACATTTAACCCTTGAACACCGGAGTCTGGGTCAATCGTGATCGAAACTTACGAAACGTACCTGAAGTTAATTTTCAAATTTCAATTTTCGTGCTTTCTATTTATTAATATTTTTCTATTGTCTTCTTTTAATTATCCAGACACGTGTAATTTACGGTTTCGATCACCGATGATCCCCGTAGCGTTCAACGATTTCAAAAGATACGAAATCAGTTTACCCAACACCTTTTTCAAACAGATCGTAAGGAATTCTTTAGTGGAGTTGCGTGACCACCGTTTCCACGCTGTACCCATCTTATCTTTGATATTAATGGCGGTGATAAGAGCAGTTGCATTTACGACATCTTTAAACGAGTTTCAAAATTCCGAAAGCCTCTCCGTTACGAAACTATCGGCAATTTCATTCGCGACAGGAAAAAAGAAATGTCCAGTTTAAAAGGAACCAGTTTTGATGGATCGACGGAAACGGTCCGTATCAGAATTGGCTATGATAAACGGCCACGAGCGTGTATCTAATTAACCAGAAGTATATTAGCAAATAGGAAAGACTTTGTCCTCGGTTAATCGTGTCCACGTTCGACCGGTCGATCCATTCCGGGCTGCACACGTGTGTGGCTACATGAAAACCAAACCTGCACATGCTGTCCATATGGTCATGTAGCCACGCATGCAAGAACTCGCTTTGGAAACGTGTACACAGAGCCTATGTAATCCTCCTCCGAGAGCATTCAAGTTTGTCTACTCCTCTGCACCCTGATCTTGATCGCATAATGAACTTACGATCACTGGTATATACTACTTATGGTGTACTATTAATAGAAACTGAATTTATTGCAATTTAGGATTTTCTTAATTAAAGGGAAATTGAGAAGAAGAATTGTCCTACTAAAATTTTAATTTAGACTCCTGGCTTTTCCAGAAATTATCCCAAAATTAAAAGGCCAACATACGAAAACCATAACAGGAACCATCACCGCCAAATTAATTATGATTTTCCCTCGATTTTCCTGGGAAGTAAC